AAAAAAAAAAAAAAAAATTGGCTGGGTATGGTGATGCTTGTCTGTGGTCCTAGCTACTTGGGAAGGTGTGGCGGGAGGATCACTTGAGCCTAAAAGGTTGAGGCTGCAGTGAGTTGTGGTCATGCCACTGCCCTTTAGACAGAGCAAAACTCTGTCTCAAAAGAAAAAAAGAAAAGAAATATTATAGAAAAAGCCAAAGGCCTGTCCTGCCTTTGATAATGATGGGAAATACTATCATACATTAATCAATGTAATAGCCACTATCATCTTTAAAATAATGTTAACTTTTCTTCAAAAACTATATAACACATTGAGTGAATTCCAGACTTCTGGCAACATCTGACCTGATGCTAAGGAAAATATACAATAAAACTGCTGAATAAAATAGAAGAGATGCTAAAAAGCTCCAAAGAGCATCCAGGCATTTCTCTTACCATGCAGATTACAGAGATATTCCCGCATCTTCATGACCATCTGGGACCTCAGTCGCAGGTTATATTGCATTTGGAAACTACGCAAATCTAAGTAGCGATACTGCAACCGAAGAGCCTCTGTTTTCTAAAGAAATTGAAAGATTTTTATATTTAAATATTTTTCAATATTAGAAAGGTATTATCTTTAGAAATAGAGTTTGAATTTTCAAAAACTTTAGCTCTGTCTTTAGTTTCTATCATCAAGTAGCCCACTGTATGCTGTTAATTCCTACAACTTCTAAGTTTGTCAGTAGTGCAGATTTTACATTTTTTTACTATTCATTATTATTAATATCACTCTTCACTGACTGGAATTTGCCTACTTGACTAAAAAGTAGCTCCATTGACCCCTTAAACTTTGGCAAAGAACATTCTAAATTATAGTAATCCTACTTATATTTATATGCTTGGGAAGTCAAGAGTTGCTCTAAGCACACATTTTATCACTTAATAGGTACAGGATCCCCTGTCCCATTTGGCCATTTCTAAGCTAGACATAATTTCCTTTCAAATGTTAAACAATAGCAACAAAAAACCTGAATAATATAACACCTCAAGTTTTAAAGAGAGAATCACATTTTAATCTGTTGGAAAAAACAGTCTAGGTATTTAGGGACTGCAACAGTTTATTGAACTGTCACTATTTCAGAACAGTTTGTCAAGAGGTTGTACAACTAAGCGAACGCTTCATGATGTGTCTACAATAAAATGTTTAATTTTGTAGAAGTTCAAGTTTTCTTTAAAAAAACTCTGAAAATACTTGTCTAGTCATCAACATTTTCTAGATACTCTATTTTATTAATAACAGAGGATGGTACCTTCATGAAGTCCTTAATTTCAAAGGGCAGCTTCTTGCAGGCATTCAGAAGTTCAGCTGTTTTAACTTTGATTTCAATCTCACCTGTTGGCATTTTCTTGGAGAGTGAGAAAGGAAGTGTTTTAAAAATTACTCATTAGGATATATACAAAATACACATTTGTAGAACATATGCATTTATTTACATATGGAAAATGTGCAAAGTCCTTCTAGTGTATAGTGTATAGTATAAAGCATACGTGTCTGTGCATGATTTTGACATTCTTACGCATATCCGTGGCTGATGTGTTCAGACATCAACAAATGTCATGGCATATCCTTGCAGTTTGATACTTGGGAGGCTGAGACAGGAGGATCACTTAAGCCCAGGAGTTCAAGAGCAGCCTGGGCAATACTGCAAGACCCCTGTCTCCAAAGAAAAAAAGGGCAGGGCACGATGGCTCACGCCTGTAATCCTGCCACTTTGGGAGGCTGAGATGGGCAGATCATGAGGTCAAGAGATGGAGACCATCCTGGCCAACATGGTGAAAGCCTCTCTTTACTAAAAATACAAAAATTAGCTGGGCGTGGTGGCACGCACCTGTAGTCCCAGCTACTGGGGAGGCTGAGGCAGGAGAATCGCTTGAACCCAGGAGGCAGCCGAGACTGTGCCACTGTACTCCAGTCTGGCGACAGAGCATGACTTAGCATGCATATTTACATAGATGTGTGTGTTTATAGTCAAGATTTTGAAATTTGTCAGTTCATTTGTAGAATTTATTCAACTTTAGTGCCTAACGTCCAGTCATGTGTTGCCAGAATGTGTACACAGACAGTGCAAATGCATACAACAAAAATTACACAGTTATCTTCGAAACTACTTACTGGATTCTCCTGTCCTGCAGGACGGGAAATGACTGTACCAGACACTTGCACCACAGATTCCACAGGGGCTTCACATAAAATCTTCCTCACAGAGGCTGCCGACTACAGAACAAGGGGGAAAAGAGTTCTGAGAAACAAATGAACTTACAGGAATCTTCAGTAATTGTAAGTCTATGGTTTTAAAAACGTTAATACTCACAGCTTAATTACCATACAGGCTGGGACTGCTCCTTAATGACTTTATTACCAAATTTAGTAAAAATTGCATCCCCATTTTGACTCTATATAATACAGCAAGTAAAGCTACTAGTTAAGAGCTTTAAAAAAACTTTCCTTAAAGGAAAATAAGGATAAGAGTGACTATTATTAGTGTAAACAAGTCCCAGATACTTGAAAAGCAATTGTCTCCAGGGTTAGTCTTAGGGACAGTGAAATCCAATAGCAATAATGAGTCAAAGTCAGAGGAGTTCTCCAGGGTTAGCTATACTCATCTCTGGATGTTGATCCCTAAAAGATAATTCACTGCTCTTTATTTATTTCAAAACTTAAGAGCTGAATAATTAATATTTTTCTTAGGCATACAAGCATTAGTAAAAATTACAATAGAAACCAACTTTGCCCAGTAAGTGTGATAGAAGTTCCTTATTTTATCTAATTCTTTAATTTAATTTTATTTTTTTTTTTGACACAGGGTATCACTCTGGTTGCTGAGGTTAGTGTGCAGAGGTGTGATTTTGGCTCACTTCAGCCTCAACCTCCTGGGCTCAGGAGATTCTCCCAATTCAGCCTCCCAAGTAGCTGGGATTATAGGCGCACGCCACCATGCCCAGCTAATTTTTTGTATTATTATTATTGTTTTTGAGATGGAGTCTTGCTTTGTCGCCCACGCTGGAGTAGAGTGGCGCAATCTTGGCCCACTGCAACCTCTGCCTCCTGGGTTCAAGTAATTCTCCTGCCTCAGCCTCCTGAGTAGCTGGGGTTACAGGCGTCCACGACCACACCTGGCTAAATTTTTGTATTTTTAGTAGAGACAGGGTTTCACCATGTTGGTCAGGCTGGTCTTGAACTCCTGACTTTGACATACACCCGCCTCAGCCTCCCAAAAGTGCTGGGATTACAGGCGTGAGCCACCGCGCCGGGCCAATTTTTTGTATTTTTAGTAGAGATGAGGTTTTACTCTGTTGCCCAGGCTGGTCTCAACTCCTATACTCAATCTGCTGGCCTCGGCCTCCCAGAGCGCTGAGATTACAGGTGTGAGCCACCACGCCTGGCCTTGAATTTTTTAACTAAAAAAATTGTTTTTTCATAATATCACTCTGTCATATTGTATCTAATTTCAATGGTAATTAAATTAAATACTTTTTGAGCAGTTAGTACCTTCACATGGCTTCAAATTCAAAGGGTACAAAAAGATACAGTGAAAAGTTTCCCCCCATCCTTGTTTTCAAGGCCCTCAGTTCCTTCCCCCAGTAGCACCCAGTGTTACCAGATACTTAGGTATCCTTCCAGAGACATTTCATAACATATATACAAGCAAATCCACACACACACACACACACACACACACACACACACACACACACTGAGTATATATTCTGCCTCCTTCCCCTAGTTTTTATACAGAAGACAGCACTAGAGTGCTGGAGTTTAATAGCTGCTCTTCTGTATACTCAAGAATACCGGTTCTTCACTTAACAGTATTCCTTGGATTTTTTTTTGCTATTAGAATAGAACTTCTTCATTCTTTTTTGTATGGCTGAGCAGAGTATCTTATTGTAAGAATATACATTATTTTTTAAGCCAGTCTCTTATTGGAGGACATCTGGGTGGTTCCCAATTTTTTCTATTAAAAAGAATCCTGAAATGAATATCCTTGTACATATGCCATTTTGTATCTGTATAAGTCTAGATATAAGATAATTTACCAGAAGTGAAATTAATGGCTCAAAGGATATATGCATTTATAGTTTTGATATTGCCAAATTGCTCTCCCTTCAGCTAGTGCCAATTTGTATTCCCTCCAGGAATTGAGCACCTGCTTTCCCAAACACAGTGTGTTGTCAATCTAATGTGTTAAAAATGACAATTACATGCAGTTTTAATTCACATTTCTCTACCTTGAGTGAGGCTGGGCATATCATTATGTCTACAAGCCATTTATATATTTTTTTCCTCTAAAGTTTTTGTTCATATCCTAGGTTCATAATTCTACTGGGTCACTGGTCTTTTTGCCATGTCTTAACATTGCTTATGATATTTTTCAGTTTTCATTAACAATAAACTTCTGAATTTAAAACCTCTAACATATTCATCTAACTACTTGGCTTACCCTAGCCACAGCATCAAAGAGGCTTTTAGATAATAACAGGAAATTTTCTATTACCTCATCCTGGGGAATGACAACTTGAACAAGCCCATGGAAATCTCTTAGGACCAAGAATGTGTTTTGCCTGATTAATGGGAGGGGGAAGAAAAAGGAACATTTTAAGATAAAATCTCTAAGTCCAAAGTTTAAGCAGACAAAATAAAAAACAAAAATCCATGCAATTTTTCATGTTTCTTTTTTATGATAATTACAATTTTTCATGTTTTTTATGATAATTATGTATTTTCTTTACATTCATGCAGTTGTTATCTATGTAGCTCATTGATGAAAAAATATTGTTTTTTTGTTTCAGTTTCAATTTTTATTGTTTACTTATCTGAAAATTAATCTTATACAGATGGCTTATTAATGAAAAATTATTATAGATGAACAATTTAAAAAATTTTTATTGGCTTAAGCCCTTATAAGAAAATTTTATTAAATTTGGAAACTTTGCACATAGTAAAATCCAAAGATAATATTTTAGCATAATGGAAACATCTGATGGATCATTTTTGAAATACGGCAATATAAAGTCTTCTTCTAAAAAAAGATACAATCTAAAATTTTCTGGAAGAGTTCCAGCTACTAATTTAATACCTCTATGAATCATCAAAAGGTCCTAGAAATGCCAACCTCTATTTCTCATAGTGTCCTCAGTACCAGAAACAGGTACAGAAACCCTCTTCAGATTTGGGTTCAGGAAACAAAGTCACTGCACTTACGGGAAAACTATCCACCTACTTGGGACAAACTCCTTTTTTTTTTTTTTTTTTTTTTTTCCAACCTGAGACGGAGTCTTGTTCTGTCGCCCAGGCTGGAGTGCAGTGGCACGATCTCAGCTCACTGCAACCTCTGCTTCCTGGGTTCAAGTAATTCTCCTGCCTCAGCCTCCTGAGTAGCTAGGATTACAGACGTGCGCTACCCCGCCTGGCTAATTTTTTTGTGTTTTTAGTAGAGATGGGGTTTCATCATGTTGGCCGGGCTGGTCTCGAACTCCTAACCTCGTGATCCGCCCGCCTCGGCCTCCCAAAGTGCTGGGATTACAGGCTTAGGCGCCAGGCTGGGACATATTCTTTGAGAAGGACATTGGCCGGGCGCGGTGGCTCAAGCCTGTAATCCCAGCACTTTGGGAGGCCGAGACGGGCGGATCACGAGGTCAGGAGAGCGAGACCATCCTGGCTAACACGGTGAAACCCTGTCTCTACTAAAAAATACAAAAAACTAGCCGGGCGAGGTGGCGGGCGCCTGTAGTCCCAGCTA